TGTGTGTGTGTGTGTTGTGTGTGTGTGTGTGTGTGTGTGTGTGTGTGTGTGTGTGCACGTGCACATATATCTGTATCTATGTATATATATGTATATATACATTTGTGCTTGGTGTTTTATGTTTGGTGTTGTGTTTAATTATATTTATACTCGATCGTTCTAGCAGTAATGACAAAAGTGGATTTTGAAGTTTGTCATCGTGTGGCGTATATAATATCTCCAGTTCCTGAGATGCACGTAAAAGTAGTCAATATTTTAGAAACAATATGGGGTGCTCCTTTGAGGTATTCGGTACACTGAACTATTACCGGGTAGTTCAAGCTCTTTGTCGGATGTAGCTGGTTGATACAACTGATCACCATATCGATTGTGTCTGCCGTATTGACTTTCACACAGTACTTAATGAATATAGCTCAGTGAAGACAACAATTTTGCCACTGATATACACAGGTGTCGGCAATCTAGCACCATTCAGCTACTTCACGATCATTTCACACCACCCACCGACGGTGATGTTCTCTATAATACGAGATTCCAGCAAGGCTGATCAAGGATTCGACAAAGACACCCTGGCGAATATCAAAGAAACAGGTACCTGCCAGTGTGCCGTATGTGGTTTGCCAGTACTGAATTGACTTATTCATATGAAAACATTCGGCAAGCAAAGATGTGAGAACATGAAGTGCGGTACTTGAGCTTATATTGCTTTATTATCCAGCGGCATAAATGTTTCGTTGTCAGATCTCACTTCTGCATATCTGTCATCATCCACATCGCACACTGTCGAAGTATTGGCCCGTGCGATCATTCGGGCACCCACTACAATCTCACGGCAAGTCGTAGGCACGTATATACTGTATGATTGTCATCCTGACTCGGCAGCACACAACCAACACGCTCTCATTTGGGCCCATATGGCATGGTTATACGCATTGCAAGTCTTCTGGACTCTGTGTTAGACATAGCACTGTAAGGATAGCACAATATATGTGCTCTGGATGTATGTGCTGTTGTCGTTCAGACTGTGTGATAGATCAGGCAGTCAATTTCTGTGACATAGATCACATACGTTGATATTGCACAGAATCCCGAAGGGAATTTGCAACCATCATGCGGTTGTTAACAACTTTCAATGGTTGTTGGTTTCTGTACGGTAGGTCTGCTGTTGTGATATGGTACTGTGCGATCTCGGGGGTATTCCGATTAACTCTAGTTTGCGGATCCGCGTTTTTTGTGTCAATGTTGTTTCCAAGACCACCTGTCTACTGGAGATATATATGTAACAATAAAACCTACAGTAAGCCCCGTTTTATTTGGATGCAATATTCATTCCTGCTCGTGTTTTACCTGCATTCGCTTTTTGGATTAGCCACTTAGTATCTTTGTGCCTAATGCTAATTCATTCAGCTCGACTACCAACACGCTATGCAAATTTCTTGAATGTCACCCCACCCCTCCCCACACGCACCTTTTTCTCAATCCGTCGCTCTTGTAGGTGTTATCTACCCCGCACTGTTGCAGCATTCGTGTATGTTTGTGAATAAATGTCATTTCTCACTCCACATATATGTCACTCGATAGGTTGTGGCCCCTTCGTGTATTTGTCTCCTATGACCATATCTATTGAGATTTTTACTTAACGACATGCCTCACAGGTGAGTACGTTGTGCACATAATGAACGAGTGGTACCTAGACGCCGCCAACCACTGCAGCGGGAACTTCGCATCGGATACGAATGAACAATCAGTGGCCGGTTTGACTCCCACAGCCTCCAAAGTAGTCAAACCACCACGCATACAAGAATCAGCTTTTCACATGGAGTGCAAGCTTGTGGATACGTACGAGGTTCCGGACAGAAAGACGGGGCAAGTCAATGCCACCATGGTAATAGGAGAGGTGGTGATGTTCCATGTAAAAATGGAGGTTGCGAGTGAGTCACCGAGTGGCTCTCTAGTCGTGGATATCACAAAAGGTTACAAGCCGATGAGCAGATTGGGTGGGAATATGTATGGCACCGTAGGCGATATTGTGGATATACCTCGACCCAAAGTATAGTGGGAGACGAAAACTCATACATATGCAATTGTTTTGTAGGGGGTGACATCTTATACACGATACAGATTATGCTGCGAGTACTCCAATACATGTACGCATTAGAGCGTATTTATATACCTCTTGACACATACGTCGTATATTAAGTTCGCCGTAAACTATCACAAGTGTAGGGAGCTAAGATGCGTCTAAAATATACAAGCAAGAGTATTCACTTGCTTATAGGATGTTACGTCTGTGATCATCCTCTTAGGAGTATCCTTCTTCTCGAAGTTATTAACTTTGAGGAAAGCATTAATAACACATTCCCCGAAGTCTCGTACACAAGTTTAGTGCACCCGGTTCTTGACAATTTCTATTCGACCTCAACCAAACTCTATTTTGTGTCGTGCGATATCAGATATCGATATGTACCTATGAATACTGCTTCATTAACTTTACTGAACATGACTGATTCTATAAAAAATCTTTGTGGGTTTTTATCAAAGTAAAGATTCAGTCGATCTGTACAAGATGCTCTAAATGCATTTCTGGGTAGCGTCCTACCCCAGGTGATGTCAAATATGACAATGGTCTCCTCTGATTTAGCCTAGAGCACATCCGTGTGCAGGCATCAAAGGAAATCTCTGTCGAAATGCAAGGTATCTCCATTAATCTATTGCGTACTGTTTGTCATATCTGACAATGTAGTTTGAAATTTGGTAGTGTGATCCGGTTGAATGTGTGCCGAATGACCAACGCTCTCGAGTAAAAAGTCTAAACCATTGCTCTGTTGTATTTGTAGCTATCGTTGATCATTGTATTGCATACCTTCGAATTTCTATATGCTATTTCCACCCAAAAAAAATTATTCTGTACTGTCGTCGCAACTCTCTCTCGGACATTGTGAAGTCATTTTTACATTCTCTGATCATTGAATAATGCATATTCTGAATATATGATCTGTTTACCGCGGAATATAATCTCAGACTATTTTGGTTATCAATTGGGCGATCCGATCCAAAACAGGTTTTCAACCGTCAGTTTCGTTTATGCCCAAATTGTAGGCTTTGTGTCTGCCATTGAACTTCTGGGCCATCATCAACCCAATGGATGTCTAAGATGTCTCATGCTAGCGGTTTCGTGCTGCTCGATAGATCAGACACTGTAGTACAACCCCTAGAAACCTGATCCTATTGATTCTGTGCTGGGTCATCAACGCCCTCGGCCATTACTCTGCTGTATTTATTAGCTTTGATCATGGTCTCATGAGTAAAGCAACAAGAAAAGTTATTCCCACACAAATAAATTCATGTAGTATTTAAGTCATGCCAGAGTAAAACGATACAGAACAGTACATGTATTTCTCCACGGAACGTGTTTATTCGGTGTCGTATCAGATCAAGTTTTGATTTGCATCTTTTAATGAATAACACAGCATATGTGTTCTTTATCGTAATCTTGTGGATTGTATTACTTGTAGACTGCGTGAATCCATACACCACATACAAGTACATATTTATTCAATAGCTATTTAGTGCGCCATTTATTTGGTAAAGTTTTGTGGTTTAGTTGTTAAGTTCTAGGGGAATGTTAGTTTAAGTCAATAACAGCAATTGCTTGTACGTGTAGGTGCCTAGTCCGCTTTGGAAAACTTTACAACCCGCAAAAAATTGCCGTCTTTAGTTATTCGAAATCTATAGCTTCTATAAAACACTGAATGACGGCCATTGATGGCCAGTTAAAAGCAATCGAGTCAAAAAGGAGTATGGTTTTTTTCAAGCGTGTATTATAATGGTTTCGCGCTAGAATACGATTAAGTGTGGGTCACCTGCTGCTATCGCACAATTCTTGGGTTAAAATGACAATCGTTCATTAACTGATCAATAGTGAGTCTGATCTGTGGGCGAAGGAGTATTTCGTGTCTTCACGACTCGTCCCAACCTACCGATATTGAATGGGTGGCTGCGAAAGTACGAGAAGCATTAGAACGGTTTTCGCGACCTTTGCGAGGCTAGCAATGTGGCACTGGTTTGAGAATTCGCTATTCATACGGTAAAAACAAATGTTGCACAGGACCATTCACGAGTAAACAATTCCTTATTCCTAGAGCTGATATATACTTCAATCTGGGTAGTGATACACTGCCTAGACCGGTTGGTTCGCAACAGAGAATAGCCGCTGTAATATTTGAGTGATTGATTCTGCATGCATTGGATCTAAGATGATGTAAGGTATGTGATAGTTACTCAATTCTGACGCATATATCAAAAGGCTAGTTCATTGGGTGGTGGTAATCTACCGTCTGGGAATACGACAGGTATTATGGATGCGCATAACATCTGCACTGTCGACTTAGCCTGACTCCCTTGAAGCACCACCACCTTGATAATGGACGGGAGCGAACTAGTGACAATAAAATTGGACGTGAAGCAATGTTGATTGTGCGCTCAGCCGAGCAGTGCTCTATATCAAATAGTCCGTCGAGATGAATGGCTTATACAGTGTCTCCCAAGAATCAACAGATTTGATTCCTTTGTGATCGTCGATGGCTGTATGGCAATGCCAATCCGAATAGTGTATCTTCGTCCATCTCAGTTTACTTGTGCTCAATGATCGCCTTTTCAGTTTCACGCGCCGAAAATATCCGGATCGTTGGAAACGTCAAATCATACGCGAACACGTGAGATTGGCTGATTAGTATCAATTGTGTATATGACACCCAATAAGAGAAAAAAATATAATCCTCGAAGCAAATTGCTTTAAATCACACTAAAATTTACTGGATTTATCGGGTTATCATTCTAGTTATGAAAATGTCGTAGAATCTTATTCTTGAAAAAAATTTAAAAAGACAGCTTCGATATATACATAACACTTCATTGAGTACATTAGTTCTTGAGTTTTACCAAAGAAACTTTCCAAGATGAAACAAATATGTTTCAACGTAAAAATTCTCACAGTATATTGGGCCCATACTTAAGATTTCCCTGGCAAGTGTGCACCTGTACATAGTAGATGCGATGAAATAAAACAATAACTCGACGCTTAGATGGATCCATACTAATAAAATACTGAAACACAATTTTCAGACCACCACAGATATTCACTTGTTACTCACAGAATTGGGTTGAGAATTATAGTCAAAATCGGTCTAAATTGAAACAGCAAATATCGTGCACGATAAAAAAATAACACTAAGCGTCCCGAGCTATGGGTGTGCATTTATGTATTGTGTCCAGTTACAATCATCCCCCAAGCAATTCGGGAGTTCCCATTGCTACGACAGATGTCGTGCATTCGATTTGTCTTCTCATCCATACTCCAGCATACGACTTTCAGAGCTGCAGTGGTACCTTGTCTGACCATATTTTTAACTATCGCATCTAATCATAGAATTACCAGCACATTGAAATGATCATCATCGTGGAAAACCAGAACGAAATTCAAATTTGCAGCTACTATCCCCATTGACTCGACTACCTTGCAATTATTGTCATTCATTAGCTTATGACATTACTATCTATAGAACAGAATAGAGACAGGATAAAAACTTGTCGTGTATGACTAATATATCATGGGACCAATGGCATACAGCACTGGAAAAAAAAGGAGACCGTTTTTTTTACCATGAGACCTCGCCTTGTCGCCATGAATCTCAGCAGCTATTTGTGACTCTTTCATTTTCTGGTGGAACCTTTCAAAATCCGTAAATCTGTTCTAGTTTCACCTCGAAGTTCTGGCCCAGCAAGTGTCTCGACCGTAAAATAATTTTTAGAGAACGAACAAACCTCTAAATATCGTTTTCTATTGATGTGATGCATATCATTACTAATGTGCTAATATTTCAGGCAACGCTGAGTTAATAAATATTCACCTCTTCCTTTACGGCTCTCGAGAAATAATTCCTGTTACACAAAATAACTGTAAGGCTTTACTGCAGTTGTATAAAGGCCAGCTGTTTTAAAACTATGGTATACCCTCGAGATTAACAACCATGAATTTATATCAATAGATGTTTTGAGTCATGGAGTACCGACGATGAGATATATCAGTGCTAAATGCTCCCCGTAGCCACCAATGAGACACATACTAATAAAGGGACTATTGGTAAACAATACTTCTCTGCTCTTCGATCAACCGTTTGAGAAATTTATCAAATTGAATGCAGTAAAATAAAAAGGAAGCACAACATGGCGGCATGGTGCCAGGGAGTGCAGCTGGACCGCAACATATAAGTGGCGCATTCCCATGTCCAAGAGTAAGTCTAATGGCTAATCCCAAAGCCAAAAATAAAAGACCCAGAGGCAGAAGGAAGGTTTCACCAAGCATTCAGAACACTGGCAGTGTATACTGTATGGCCTACGTGGCCAAACATTCAGAATTTTTCTTCCCGCGAAATTGCGATGCCTGTTTCTGTGCAGAGGACGGCCAACCCCACAGTTGCAAACAATTTGACGCACTAAAGCTTCAAACTTTCGTCTTCAATCTTTAAGTTTCAACAAACGAGAGAGACAATCTTGTCTGAAAAATTCAGCCTTCATACTACAGCCTTCAGCGCTGAAACTACAGGTCTCATACCAGATTTTACAGCAAGAAACCTCTTTTTGATATATGAGGTTTTTAATAGAGTTAGCTTACTTCCGAGAGCTAATCGGATTTTTTTAACTCACTCCCGAGAGTTGATTTAACTATTCAACCGACTATATAGAGTTTTTTAAGTTTGCTATACGCAAAATTCTATAAAAAAAGAGTTGCGCCTATGCGAGTCACAGCTAATGCAAAAAAAGCATAAAACCAGCTTGACAATCACTAGCAGAGAAGTCAACTAGACTAGTATCAAAGTATTAAAGTGTTCCGCAGAAGGTTTCTCATACTGACCAATTGGAATTTTACCCTGGCCAGCCCAAGTGGTTGAACACTGGCACAAACGTCGTATGTATAACATCAAAGGTGAGGTCTGAAATAAAGATATATTTGTACTTTAATTATTTGTCTCCCACCTAGTACAATAGCACGCCAGAATGTGTATATTCCAAAAGCGAATAAATGGGCGGTTCGGATGTCCCGTAGTTGCCGCTTTTTAGGTCTACCAGACAAGTGAACTAATTTGCTTCTTACTCATAACTTTGTCGCAAATATTTCAATAAAAATGTTTCAATTCCAAGCTGGACTGAAAGCCTTTAGTCAGATGAACAAATAGATATATGTGTGTTTATACTAGAAATCAATAGCCATGATAGTAAATCATATCGGACGAGTATATCTTTTAAATATAACAATATCGTGTATGCTGATAACTTCGTGTTATGCGATGGCTATATTACTCTTCAATATAGTCTAAAAGCATATATACGTTTGCTTCTTGTCATTATTTACAGTTTGTACTATTTCATATTGTGTCAATTTGTATCTTATTGTATCGACTGAAACCTATATTTTTCAACT